TATTCCAAAAATTCTAAATGTTCATGAGCTATAACCCGTAATTTTCGTAGTTTTTGACCAAACCGAAAATTATCGTCGCACATATAATTATTTTATGTCCACTCCTAAATTCCTGGATCTTTTTGGACAATAATCTATGATTTTGACTTTCTGTGGACTATAGCCCATAATTTTGGTCATTTTTGACCAAATCTTAAGTTGTCATGCATAGGATATTTTATACGTACTCTAAATTTTCTGAATTTTTGTGGGCCAAACAATGAGTTTGGCTATTTTCGACTAAATCACAAGTTGTCATCCCGCATAAAATATTTTATGCATTCATTGAAATTCCTGAATTTGTGCGGATTATACCTCATGATTTTGGCTATTTTCCAAATCACAAATTGTCATCCAATACAAAAAAAAAAAAAACTATGCTTACTCTAAAATTCTCAAATTTCTACAGACTATAGCTCAAGATTTTGACCGTTCTTTTACCAAATTACAAATTGTCATCCAATATAAAATATTTTATACATACTCTAAAATTCGCAAATTTCTTGGACTACATCGCAATTTTTGTCGTTTTCGACCAAATTACAAATTGTCATCCCATGTAAAATATTTTATGCATACTCCAAAAATCTCAAAATTATGTGGATTATAACTCATGATTTTGGTTGTTTTCGACCAAACCACAAATTGTCATGCTACATAAGATATTCTGTGTACTCTAAACTGCCTAAATTTTTATAGATCATAACCAATGATTTTGGTTGTTTTTTACCGGTTGATAAATTATCGTCCTAAATAGAATATTTATGCACAATCTGAAATTCAGAATTTATGTTAACCATAAGCCATGATTTTTGACATTTTCTACCAAATCACAAGTTGTCGTCCAACATAGAACATTTTATGCATACCCTAAATCTCTCAATTTTCTATAAATTATAATCCGTGATTTTGGCCCTTTTTGACCAAATCACCAAATGTTACCTCGCATAGAATATTTTATACGTGCTCCAAAATTCTTGAATTTTTGTGGACTGTAATCCATGATGTTGGTGGTTTTTGACCAAATAACAAGTTGTCCCGCATAAAATATTTTGTGTACTTAAAAATTATTGAATTTTTGTGGACTATAACTAATGATTTTGGTCGATTTTACCAAATCACAAACTGTTGTTCCGCTTAGAATGTTTTACATGCACTACAAAATTCCCAAATATTTATGGCCTATAACACATGAGTTTGGTCGTTTCGTAATCAAAATCATAAGTTATTGTCAAGCATATAATATTTTATGCGTACTGTTTGCGTCAGGAATAGGTTCTGTTGTAGAATTCATTATAACTGTTTATCGATTACAATGAATACAAATTCTGTTGTAGAATTCATTATAACTGTTTATCGATTACAATGAATACAAAGGAGTAAGTTTCGTACTTTGTAAAACTACTCTTTACAACAAAAATCAAATTACAAACTCCTTAGAAACAAACGCAGGATCGTTGTTTGGATCGCTGCTTGCACGGGATTTTTGCCTGTGCCGGGAGTGCTTTGACTCGTGGACCATCAAATCACAGATTATGAGGGGTTTAGAGATTCTTCATTCGTTTATCGAAGTAGGAATTTGAAGTGAATATCTTATCAAAGTAAGACGATCACTCTTCTTAAGATCAAGTCAAAGCTCGAATCTCAAGGAATCACACGAGGAACTCAATTCTTATTGTTTTTTCTCTCTGCTCTCTATGCTCAGATCTGCTCCAATTTGCTCGATGCTCTTCGAATTGCTCTAAAAATGCTCTCCCCCTTTTGTAACCGCCGTCCCACTACTTAAATACCATCTTTTTATGAGGTTAGTGGGCCTCTTTTCAGTTTGTAACTATCTCCCCACGTTTATGGTTGATCTCAAGTAGTTATGAAGCCAAAAAACCGTCAAAAAACGTGTTGTAACCAACTCTATGGCCGAGACAGGGTTGTGTGTCTCGCACTTCCGAGACAGTTTGTACTGTCTCGGGTATTTTGGTTCTAACTCCCTCGTCCGATATCGGAATGAGATGATCCAAGATGCGTTGGAAAGCTGACGAAGAGATCTACAACTTTTGTCTTTTGACCTTCTTCAGATTTGGTGCGAGACAGTCATGACTGTCTCGCATTCCGAGACAGTTGTGACTGTCTCGCACTTCCGAGACAGTTTGTGTTATCTCGGGTATCTTGGCTCTAACTTCCTCGTCCGATCTCGGAATGAGGTGATCCAAGATGCGTTGGAAAGCTTACGAAGATCTCTATAACCTCCCATAGGCAAGACACTCATGAAGTAGACGAGAGACACATGGTACTTCACCCTTTTGTGGGTAAAGCACAACTCCTGGTTGAGTTGTTCCTTTATCGTTTAGCATGTTTCACAGACTCGTACGCTTCGCCGACTTATTTCATGTGCTTTTTAGCTTCTCTATAATATCAGATGATCTCCTTTGACTCAGATAATCCTCCTTGACTCGGATAGTAACATCCATCGTCTTTTTTTTATCTCGAGCTATGTGCGAGAACCTATAGGCAATTTTTTACGCCTACACGTACTTCAAAATTTCCAAATCTCTATGAACTGCAACCTATAATATTTGTCATTTTCGACCAAATCACAAGTGGTCGTCGCCCATAAAATATTGTGTACTCTAAAACTCTCAAAGTCTTGTGGACTATAACCTATGATTTTGGCATTTTTTGATTAAATCATAAATTGTCATCTTAGAAACTATGTTTTATGTGTACTTTGAAATCCCAAATTTCTCTAGCCTATAACTCATGATTTTGGTTGTTTGCAATAAATTTCCATCCTGCATTAATGTTATACGCATGCGCCCAAATTTCCAAATTTCTATAGAGTATAACCCATAATTTTAGTTGTTTTTTGACCAAATTACAAGTTGATATCTTACATATAATATTTTCTACACCTCAAAATTCTCGAACTTTGGTGTACTATAACCGTGATTTTGGTTTTTTTACCAAATCAGAAGTTGTCATCCTACAATAAATATTATATGTGCACCCATAAATTCTTGAGTTTTTGTAGACTGTAACTCATGATTTTGGTTGCTTTCGACAAAATCGCGAACTACTGCTCTGCATAAAATATTTTATAGATACTCCAATATTCCTGAAATTTTGTGGACTTTATTATTTTGGTCTTTTTCGACCAATTCAAAAGTTTTCCAGGATAGACTATTTTATGCGTTATCCGAAATTCTTGAATTTCTATGGACTATACTTTATGATTTTTGACGTTTTCCATCAAATTAGAAGTTGTGGTTCCGCATAGAATACTTTATGCATGCTCAAAAATTCCAAATTTCTGTGCACTCTAATCCATGATTTTGGTGGTTTTTAACTGAATCACTAGTTGTCGTCTCGCATAGAATATTTAATCGTACTCCGAATTTTCCAAAATTTTGTAGCCTATAACTAATAATTTTGGCCGCTTCGGACCAAATCCTAAATTGTGGTTCCACATAATATTTTAGATGTACTCCAAAATTCCCAAAATCATGTGGCCTATAACCCATATTTTTTTTTCTCGACCAAATCACAAATTTTCATACCACATAGAATATTTTGTGTACTTTGAAATTCTTAAATCTACGTAGAGTACAACCCATGATCTTGGTCGTTTTAAACCAAGTCACAAATTGTCGTCTCCAATAGAATATCTTAAAGTACTCCAAAATTCCTGAATTTTCATGGATTATAATTTATAATTTTGATCGATTTCGATGAAATCACAAGTTGTTCATGTTTCTTTTCTTATCTCGACTCTTAAGTATATTTAGTATCTTGTGAAACTAACCTTATGACTCCGTGTTTCTTTGATCTCATCACTCGCTTAGACTTTGGTCTAATAGTTCTTCACTTGCCTGTAACGTAATGAACTTACTCCTTCTGAAGCCGATTGTGTCTACTTGAACAAGCAAATTCTTCACACTTAGCTTTAGCTTGCAGCCTTATTTGACATTATTGGAACATTGTAGTTTCTTTCCAGTTTAGTGGCCTCTTTCTTCAAGATATAGATTTTTAAGATATCGAGACATTAAATTTAACTTCTACAATATATTTTGTTTGATTTTAACTACGGTGGCTTAAATATGATGGATTCTATGAGATGTACATTGTGTTGTGAATGACCGTGGATAAAAAGATGAGTTTAAGAGTATTTATCGAGTGTTTCACTTTTGTCTCAATAAGTATAATACTGGCTCAATCGTGTCCCAGATAGATATTTGGTTCTAAAGCGTGACAATAACTCATCAATTTTTTTAATTCTCGATCAAATCACAGATTGTCTTCCCGCATAAAATATTTTTTTTGCATTAAAAAAATTCCAAATTTCTGTGGACTCTAATTTATGATTTTGTTCGTTTTTTATTAAATCACAAGTTGTCATTTCACATCAAATATTTTATGCATACTTCAAAATTCTCAAATTTTTGTGGATTATATTCCATGATTTTTGTCATTTTTTACCAAATTACAAGTTGACGTCCCGCATAAAATATTTTATGCGTACTCTAAATTCCCAAATTTCTGTGAACTATAACAAATGATTTTGGTCACTTTATAGGTTATCTTCTAGTGGATTGTTATAATCCACATGTTTGACCAAGAAAATGATATGAAATTACCCATCATTTTTTCATATCCCTTTCTTTCCCCTTCTCTCTGCTACCACTTTTATTTGTTTATTTATTTTGTCATTTTAACCAAAAAACACATGGATTATAAACCACCTCCTTTACCCAACACCTAAAATTTTAACCCATTTGTGTTATAAACTTATAACCTACAAATGGATTATAACCTAAGGATTGCCAAACATGCCCGTAATCTATATGACTTCAGATCAAGTAACAAAAAGGATTGCCTTTTACTGGATTGAAAAGAGCAAGTCAGAAATTAAATCATTGAACATTTTCATATGACACAAAAAAAGGTATACGCCATGACAAAAGACTAACCTTATAAACAAAATTCCTGCAGTTAGCACCATCCCTCCAACTGCCCAAGAAATCTTTTCAGTGATAGGCATATCCCTCAGCCATTGCTGAAAATCAACATTAAACTTCTCAGCCTTCGGCGAACCATATCTTGAATTCTTCCAAGAATCTGCAATCGATTCTAAGCTCTCTTTTCCACCATAACAAAACGGCTCATCCGGACCTTTATAACTAATTCCATCTTGTTTTACCGAGAAACCTGAAAGGTGACAGAGCTCTGTACCATTCGAAGCCCATTCATTTAATCTACCACAGAGAATGTCACTTAATCCGCAAGGAGACAAAACCTGAAGCAATAGGAACCAACTCAGATTACTGACTATTTATACTTCACCTCAAAGCAGCTTAGTATTGAGGACGTAATATATTCAATACTATGATTACTACTCAAAATAAATGCATAGGTTTGCTTATGACTTGTTACTTGTTAGAGTATAAATTATAATCCTCAACTCTCACCAAAACTTCAAAAGTTTTGGTTCAGTCAAAGAGGACTTTAATATGGTATCAGGTCACACACCAGGTTCAAATAACCACTGGAGATGAACATTGAAAAGAGATTTCAAATCTCTCTCTCTATGTAGCATAGTCCAAGTTAGGCCCATGAAAAAGATATTTAATCCTTGAGGGCATGTCAGAGTATAAAATTGTAATCCTCAGCCCTCACAACAGATTTGGTGAAATGGAAGGGACTTTACTATGATCCAAACCAACCAGTTTACAGGACCATTTAGAACAAATTAAATTCACTAAAATATCTATCTTGTCTCGCGTCAGTTGTGAAGCTCTCTAGAACAAATTTAACTCACTTTGGAAGGGACTTTAATCAGACCCAAACCAACCAGCTTGCAGGTCCTTTTAGACCCCTTCAGAACAGAATTAAACGTGCTAGAATATGTACCTGATTTTTGGCATCAATTGAGAAGTATGCATTTCCACAAGCCTCTAGCACCTTATCACAAAGAGAGGCACATATCAGAGGGGGTCCAGGAAGGACACCAACCCTTGGATCACAAATGGAGCACTCCAACAGCTCCCATAAATCCAAGCACTCTTGGCTGGCTTCTCCACTAGATGCCAGTCTTCGAATTGATAAAAGAGCAGGATAAGTCTGAGAAACATCACAGCATGTACTTCGGCGGAAGACCCGACAAAGTGTTAAGTCTTTGGGTCCTTTGGATGCTTTTCCAGGAGGCTTCCCCTCGGATGAAAAGGAAGGAAAACGGCCACCAGGAGAGATACACACTCCACTTGATTGACCTGCATTATATGATATAATGTGTCCCATGATCATTCTGTTTAACCAAATGCAAGTTTTCATACTGGAAAGGAATATCAGTAATCAGTTTGGGTATTCAGGGATAGCAATAAAGTCTAATAGGTGATATTAAAAAAATATAAGAGGTATAAAGTTACTTAACAACCAATTTGTAGGGAATAATAATTAAAGCTAAATCAATGACCAATTTGTAGGGATCAAAGTAACTCAATTATGAGTACCTCATTGTGATATTAAAAGAAATCCTAAAAACAATGGACTCGTAGCAATTTTACCTCAAAGCTGGAAGAATATGTAAATATTGGACTATCTCCTCTGAGACAACAGGTATTCCTTGCGAGTGTGTGTGGGGCGTGTATGTGGTGGTTGCTTGTGAGTTTGTGTACATCAAAAAATATTTTCTCATGAGTAACATAGAATGACAATATGTGGAATGACTCTGATCGTTCAATCATTTATATGTTAGACCTGAGAATCTGAGATACATAAGCTATTTTATTTATGAAACCAAAACAAAGAAAATGTTAAGGAAAGAATACATTAAGGAGAATAACATGCCAACAAGTAAATTAGAACTTAACTTAGATGAGAAGTAAATAAGAAGAAACATATGTTCTTTTTTTCCCCTTTTTTTCCCCGATCTGCAGGATGCTTTCCATCCCCAATTACTCAACCATTATTGTAAGTCATCAGGAAGCTTGTTTTCTTTTGAGAATTCATTACAAGCGCAATCGCCACACTAGGTCATGCTTTTCAACTTGCATCCCAGTGCTTGTTACATTCTGGAAGGGCATTACTTGGTTCTCTTGTGTATACAAATGTTTGGTATCCCGTATCCGTGAGAATCCATAACATTCAACTCCCATTATAAAAACATAATTTTCTGCTATTCGGGGTCAGCTGCAATGATCCTTATTACTATGGCCGATCTTGTTTCCAAAGAAGTTTTATCAAATCATTTGTTCAATTAGCGTAGGTTTTCTTTCTTTTTTGTCTTCTTCAAACACAATTCAATAAGATATCCTTACTAAATACTAAGACTTGCTCATGTCTTCATTTAGACACAGCACCAACACAATTTCTTCAATTGGTTCAACTCCTTGCTTTATAGTAATCATATTGCTAAGAATACGCTCCTTGTTTTCTGTTGTTTTGTGACATCTTCCTTGGGTCAACACACAAGGCTATCATAGAAAACCAAGATGCACTTCCACGTTACATCATTACAAATCTTCCCGGGAAATTAGGTACGTTCTAATTTCATATTGTTGTCAAGAGAAGGTTCAATAGGCTCAGGAAATACTAGGCTTATGCTCAACAACTTTGGGTTGTCATATGAGATGATATTCACACTATTTTGGTGGTTATCTCAAACTATAGGAATTGATTTGTCGGCTTGTTTTTTAAAATGGCAATCTCATATAAGTTTCTTAGAATGGGTGCTTTGATCTCTCATAGTTACATATATAGAATATTCACTACTGTTATTACCCTAATATCCTAATCCGCTTCTGTTGTTAGTGCCACACACCACGGACCCATTTGACTAACCTCTAATCCAGAACAATAAAATTACACAAATTTTAAGTCAAAATAGTACTTAATTCATCAACTCCAAGGTCCCATCGAAATGTAAACTTTGTTAGCGAATGATTTTTTTTCAATTTTGAAATTGAATCTTCATTTCCTACACAAAATATCAGTTTACTAAAGGATAATATGCAAACAGTAAATAAAACTAATTACAATAACTTAAGACATCAACACATCTTACATGGAATAGAACCAGCTGGTTATAGCCTTATCCTCTTCGATGTTCGGACCTCGGCCCGATTGCTTGTCGTTGTTGTGGCATCGACCGCGGTTAGTAGAAAGAAAAGCAAAACGTACACAAACAACATTGTAATAATATTGTCGGAGGATCGAGAGCGTACGACGATTTGTAATTAGTTGAGTGATTAATGAGAGTAAAGCTCTAATGTAGCCATTTGGGTTAAAAACTGAAATGAGATTGAAACTTCGGGTATCAATGTGTACTTGTTACAAATCTAAGTCACCTAGGCTAACATGGGCCATCGTAAATGGCTATATTATAACTTCACTCTTATTAATCACTCAACTCCACTCTATAAACGAATCATCATACGCTCTCAATCCTCCGGCAATATCATGATTCATGACAATGTTGTTCATGTAAGTTTTGCTTTTCCTTCTACTAACCACAGGCAACGCCATGACAACAGCAAGCAACCAGGTCAAGGTCGGAACACCGAAGTAGGTCGTAGAACCAGCCAGCTCTATTCCAAATAAGATGTGTTGTTGTCTTAAATTATTGTAATAAGTTTTATTTAGTGTTCGCATATTATCCTTTAGTAAACTGAATGATTCAATTTTAAAATTAAAAATCTTCATTTGATAACAAAGATTACATTTCAATTGGACCTTAGAGTTGATGAATTAAGCATTATTTTCAATTAGCATTTGTGTAATTTTCTTGTTCGAAAGTTTTCTAGAAAATTTTATCATTTTTTATAGCAATTTTAAACTATATTGCCCGTATCATAATCCTACAGTTTTGAATGTATAGTATAACTATGACGAGCATCAATTACTTGACATATCAAATGAGCAGTGCTAGGAAAAAATGACGAGGCAATCTCATATAAGTTTCTTACAACGGGTACTTTGATTTGCTATAGTTATTTATATAGGATATTTTCAATTGTTGTTACCCCAATATCCTAAATTTTAATCCTCTTCTACTGTTATCGCCATAGTCCATGGGCCCATCCGACTAACCTCTAGGGCATTTTTGGATAGAGGGGAGTAGAGAAGGGAAGGGAGGGAACACATGCACCCTGTTTGG